ATCGCTTCGACGCCGCATACTAGCGTTATCATGGGATAATGCTGATTACCGTAATAGTGACGTTGATACGCAGTGTCAAGAAGCGTCGGCTAATATCGGACTTTACGTCATCCTTGTTACTTATATATTTTCTTGTTTATTTATTTGCTTACTTGTTTGCTCACTTACTGATTCACTCACTTTCTTGCTTAATTCATTAATTTACTTATTTACATGAGTCCTGAGTCATTTGCTAACATGCTTAATTGCTTACTTATTAACTTAACATATTTACTGACTTCTTTACCTGCTTCGCTGTTCAGTTACTTGCTTATTTACTTACTTGTTTACTCAATAACTTGCTCACTCTCTGCTAATACACCTTTTATTTCCTATCTTACTCGAGTCATTTGTACTTGCTTATTTATTTGCTTAGTTTTCTGTTTATTTGTTTAGCTGAATACATGATTACTTATTTACCCTGCTTAGTTGTCAACTTCCTGAATCGTTTATCTACCTATGTAGGATAATCCAGTACATGTTTAACTATAGTAATGAATCTTTCTATGGTCTCTTGATCCTTTGATCTCAGAACTGACCGGATCGTTTGATGGAGTCATTCCATGATCTGTTGGTTATGTATTGCGCAAAGGCGGTTGTCTATTGTGCAACGGCAAACGTGCAACTTTGTTGGTGTTGCTAGAAAATGAGGTTTCGATTCGCCGGTGCGTATGTTACAAAAATCTTTCCGTTACTTTGGCATCATCAAGCCTAATTTAATGAGTTTTTAACAGAATGAAAGACGATCTGTTGTAAAATCAAACTGCACATTGCGATCTACCGGCTTATGGCTGATTTGCGGAATCAAGAAGTGGGAAAATCATCACTGCGCCAAGGACGTCTCGTAAAATATTGTTTTTCTTCAGTCATGAATTTTGCAGCAAAGCTCGGTTAGATAAAATTTCACTTCGCATGACCGGTTTAGCAACTTAATTATGGCTGAGAAGATGAGTGGGTGAGGGCGAGTTTTCAACGCTTTTTGTTGTTTCGCCTGTCTTGCCAAACGTGTTTCATCTTGAAAGG